GATTCCTGGGGAAGGAGGAGTATCAGGCTGAAATGGTGTGCACACAACAACCAGTTGTCAACCCCTAGGGTTCCACTATCACCCAACTCCATCCTGAGTCCAGTGAGACAGAGCTTGTCTTGGTGCATCTCATACAGATAGAAGCCTAGTAACTTCTTTTCCTTCAACCCTCCCACCAGATAGCAGAGGAGTTGGTCCAGGTTCTTGTACTCCAATTTGTCTTCTGATCATCAGAGGTCAGAGGCTGAACAGGCTGCCAGAAGGAAGTTCCTGACAAGAGGATTCTTCATGCTCCCCATTATTCTGGAAACCAGGGAGGAAGTTAGTTCCCAAGAGCCCTCTCCTCAAAGGGACTTCCTGGGCTTAGCTCTACTGTACATTAATAATATCAGGCTAGATGGTGAATAGATGTTTGGATATGGAGCTTTGGGCCCATGGGGGCCTTGGTCACTGGCCCCTTCATCATATAATAGTACAGATAAAGACTTATTCCACAAGCAGAAGCATGTTGATAAGCTGAGAATTCAGGTGACTTTTTTGATGTTTGTTTGATTAACAAATTTCCATTTCATTTCCTCGTGGAAAGTAATTGCTTTAATAATTAGTTTAATAGCTACATATAATTTTCTATAATGCACTTAATTCAAATATATTTGACTGAATTGATAAAATAACCAAAGAAAGAACTTTATATGATTTAGATCTGTATTTACATAATAGTTTTTTTTCCCTGTTGAATGAGTATATTTAATATTTTGTTAAAATGTAAAGGAAATAACAAAGAGTTAATGGATTTAGGAATGTTTTGTTTCATAGTTGTGTTAATAAACAGTATATGCATTTCTTTATAGCCAGGTGCTCTGTTAAATCAGTTCCTCACTTAGAACATCAATCAGTTGTGTGGAGGGCTGATCTTAATGCTTGGCATGTAGTATGAAATGTTTGTTAAATGAACTAGTGATAATTCTGGAAAATACTATGTGTGTTCCAGGACTTGATCTCCAGGTTTGCATATCCAAAAATCCCACGTGTTGTACCAAGAAGATGGAAGAACGGTATCAAATTGCAGCTCGTCAAGATATGCAGCAAGTGCTTCAAACATCCAGCTCTACACTGAAGTTTCTAATATCTCGAAATGCAGCTGCTTTTCAAGGTAAATGTATTTGAAATCTGAAACTAAAACCCAGCCTTGTTATATAACTTGCTTATTCGAGTTATACTAGTAAACTTTTCTGAGATTACTTCTTTGTATTTGCATATTATAGTATAAAATAAGCTTTCTCTAGCTATTGGAACTGGTCTCTGAGGTCATCATAGGATACATACACATACATGTAACTATGTGTGTGTATGCAGTGCAAACCCACCACCCACTCCTCAGAAGGAAGGTTGGGCAATCTACTTCCTTAGTGATACTGCCTTGGCAACCCAAGGAGAGGTCGTTATGAGTCGGGTCTGACTCGACGGCACATAACAACAACAACATATATATATTTACATACATACACACATATATACATGTATGTATGTGTGTGTATGTATATATATATGTATTTGTGTATTTGGACTGGGAAAATTACTTTGCCCATCAAATGGTAAATGATCTTTGGAAATATACGCCTACTTATGTTCTTCTATAGGTAGCCCTGGTGGCACAATGCTAAACAAACTGGTAACTATAAA